CCGCTGGGTCTCCTTCGTAACCAGGAAACGCGTGCCTACTTGACCAGACATCTTGAAGCGGCCGAGGGCCCAGCAGAGCCACCAGCCCCCGACGCCGATGCCCCAGAAGTAGAGCCACGGGCACTCGAGGCAGTGCGGTTGGTCCCCGGAGTTGCCCCCGATGATGCTGTTGTGGGTGCCGTCGTTGTTGTTGATGTCGGTGGCGGATCTTTGCTTCTCGTCCTCTTTCCCGAGCTTCGTGTCGCGGTAGTCGGAGATGAGGTCTGAGTTGAAGGTCCGATGCCATTGCCATCTATCTCTTGATGCAGCCACGGGTCGTACTGATCGTCCTCGTCGTGGTTGTCTTATGTCATGTTGCTCCGTCCCTGCAGGCTGCATTGCACCTGCTTGCCCGCATATTTAAGGCTGTGACGGCCTCAGCCCTCATGGCCAGGATGATGGTGGCCGTGTGCAGGATCATGCAGCAGAGATATTGGTCCTCTAGGTGTTGCTGCCGCACCTCCACCGGCGCCTCTCGCAGCCTCGCTGCTCTCCCCCGGCTCCAGCATCTGCCTGTTTGTTGCGCTCCAACGTCGGTCTCGCGTCCTCGGTGGTGTCCGCTTCTCGTCGGTGAGCTTTCACTTTCTCGATCATGAAGCTGTCAGCGCCTTTGGATTCAACTGTTTTCATGATCGTCTCCCACAAATCACCGAACTCTCCCGCCTCCCCCCTGTTCATGTCTCCTCATGCCGTCCCTCATCCTCCTCGCTCGTCCTCATCCTCCTGCTCCTCGTGGTCATCCTCCCCGTGGAACCTCGAAGGGCAGCGCATCATTGTTATTAGCAACAGCATCGTCATCATCATCATCATCATCATCATCATCATCATCATCATCATCATCATCAGCAGCATCATCAGTATTGTTATTAGCAGATTCATCCTCATCATCAGCAGCATCATCATCTTCTCTTTCATATTCACCTTTCATCACAATCACCGTCAGCATCATAATCATCCTCATTCTCATCGTCATCATCATTGGTATCATCAGTATCAGCAGCATCATCATTAGCATCATCATCATCATCATCAGCAGCAGCATCAGCATCAGCATCAGCATCATCATCATCGTCACCCTCCGACTCCTCCGCACCCTCCCCATCCGCGCCCTCTCGCCTCCGTCCTCCTCCTCCTCCCCGTCCTACCCTGAGACCCAGCGTTGCGACAAATACAACATCGCGAGAATCGCCACCTGAGCCCTGGACACCATCTGTCTGCCGGATAAGCGGAGCTATTTGTGCCGGATGTTAAGTTTGCACCGACCAGATCTCCAGGTATTCGTCCTCCTCGTCCTCCTCCTACCCCACTATTTCCTCCTCCTAGTTCTCCCTCTTATCTCCTACCTCCCACCTCCTCCTCCTCCTCCTCCTCCTCCTCCTCGTCGTCGTCGTCGTCGTCGTCCTCCTCCCCCTCGCCACTGTCCGCCGCACGGTCCTCTTCGACGGAGATGCTGGGGACAGGCGCGAGCTCTGCCACGTCGAGCTGTCGTCCACCTCGGGCCCCCCAGAGGGGAGCAAACCAACCCCCCGCACCGCCCCTCTGGCTAGTCCTCCTCCTCCTCCTCGCTCCTCCTCCTCCTTCTCCTCCCCCTCCTCCTCCTCCTCCTCCTCCTCCTCCTCCTCCTCCTCCCCCTCATCATCAACACCTTCATCATCCTCATCCTCATCCTCATCCTTATCTTCCTCCTCCTTCTCCTCCTCCTCATGATCCTCGTCCTTCTCCATGTTGACGTTGTCTGACGGTAAGCTCGAGGCTCGCAGCGCTCGTGAGGAAATTGCACCGAGCAATGCCAACTGGGGCGCAGTGGTCTACACATTCATCGGCTGGGCGCAGCAAGAAAACGGCTATGCGAAATGAGAAAGTGAGACATCGCAAAGTACAGAGGCTCGCTAAGGCAAAGCGTATGCGCCCACATGGTCAGTGGGGGGTGGTGGTGGTGATTACGATCCGCAAACTATCATAATAAGATGAGGAGCGAGAGAAACGAACTACGATGCGGGCGGCAGTAGGGGCACTAGGGCAGGCATTGGCGTATTATGATCCCGTGATGCTGTGGGGCATCCATCCCGCATCTCTCCGCTCATCCTAGGACCCTCCGATTCCGCCTCCATAGCAAGTCAAACCCCCAGTCCTTGAATCGGAGGTTGGGGGGTGAGATCTCAGTGTAACGGAGTCCCCCCACCGGGAAATCGAGTTTCGAGTTCGTGCTCGTGCCGTGCGTGCGGGCGAGGCGAAGCTGCGTGGGCGGGCGAGAGGAATTCACTCTGCTGTCGCTAGGGGTCCGCCAACACAAATGTTTCCCCCCCCCGGTGTTGTCAAGCGGGGGCCCACATTGTCCCGTCGGTGGCTCGCCGTTGTCCCGTCGGTGTCCCGTCGGTGTCCTGTCGTGAGATCGACTGTGAGACCGATCGTGAGATCGATCGTGAGATCGCTAGTGAGATCGATAGTGAGATCGATGATGGGACCGAATGTGAGATCGATTGTGAGATCGATTGTGGTATCGATTGAGATCGATAGTGAGACCGAATGTGAGATCGACAGTGAGATCGATAGTGAGATACCTATACGACCACCCTTCGGGTGATAAGGAGGTGAGGGGGGAGGAGGAACCAACGTGTCACAATCGATCTCACTTTCGGTGTCACTATCAATTTCACGATCGATCTCACTATCGATCTCACTATCGGTCTCACTATCGATCTCACTATCGATCCAACATTCGGTCTCACATTCGGTCTCACAATCGATCTCATGATCGATCTCACCATCGATCTCACTATCGATCCCACTATCAGACTATGGATCTCACAATATATCTCACTATCGATCGCAGTGTAACGGAGTCCCCCCGCCGGGAAATCGAGTTTCGAGTTCGTGCTCGTGCCGTGCGTGCGGGCGAGGCGAAGCTGCGTGGGCGGCCGAGAGAAATTCACTTCGCTGTCGCTAGGGGTCCGCCAACACAAATGTTTCCCCCCCCCCGGCCTTGTCAAGCGGGGGCCCACGTTGTCCCGTCGGTTGCCCGCCGGTTGCTCATCATGGTTGCTCATCATGGTTGCTCATCATTGTCCCGCCGGTTGCTCATCATGGTTGCTCATCATTGTCCCGCCGGTTGCTCATCATGGTTGCTCATCATGGTTGCTCATCCGCCGGTTGCTCATCATGGTTGCTCATCATGGTTGCTCATCATGGTCCCGCCGGTTGCTCATCATGGTTGCTCATCATTGTCCCGCCGGTTGCCCATCATGGTTGCCCACCATGGTTGTTCATCATGGTTGCTCATCATTGTCCCGCCGGTTGCTCATCATGGTTGCCCATCATGGGGCACCATCGTGGTTGCTCATCCTGGGACACTTTATTTTGCTTCTCCTCCTCGTATCCTTATACATATATGTATATATATGTATATATATACATATATATATGTATATATATATATATATGTGTATATATATGTATAGACTCCTCTTCCTATATTTTGTTATAAGCCCAGGCGGGGGGGAAACCCGTTCCGCCCCCCCCCAAACCGGACTCCCGGGATCTGGGGTTTTGGGACCTTCCGGACGGGCCTTGAAGCGGTTCCCGGGCCTCGCAGGGCGTTTTGCCAAGCCTTCCCAGCACACCCAGGGCGATCAGGGGGGTCATCGAAGACGTCCCAGGGACCCCCAAGACAGCACAAGAGCGCTCCAAGAGTGACCGACGTGACCTCAAGATGGCCCGAGAGGCCCCCAGGACTGCCCCAAAGAGGCCTCCAAGAGCACTCCTAAGAAGGCCCCAAGAGGCACAAATCATTGATTTTCTTGTGGTTTTTGGTGAATTTTGGGGTTCTCCTCTTTTCGGCTTCCCGACGCTCCAAGACGGCGGTCTTCTGGGCGTCCGAAGCCGCCTGGGAGGCTCCAAAATCGCCCCACAACCATCCGAAAGGGCTTCCAGGCAGTCCAAGAGAGCCCCAAAACGGCACAACACGGGTCCAAGATGGCGCTCGGAGAGCCCCGTGGCGGCCCAAGATGGCCCCAAGATACCCTCCGAAGCATTCCATATCGTGACCCGGTCGTTCAGCGAGACCGCGGTTGGAGGCAGGGTGGCCCGAGGAAGCCCCCAGAGGCCCCCAGAATACGCCCAGGAGGCCTCCAGAAGGCCTTAAGGAAGCCTGAAACAACTCATGTGAGGCCCCCAAAGGCTCTCCAAGGAGGAGCCTCCGCAAGAAAAAACTGAGGAGGATGGGGAGAATGCGAAGGGTATTGCGGAAATGAGGAAAAAGAAGCATGGAGGCAGGATAACGAATAACATTATTATAGCGGCGATGCCGGAAAAGGCAACAAGGAGTCATCGCTAAATTATCGGCTTGGCCTTCTTGCTATTCCACCTGCATACCAAGCTTCAAGGACCAAGGTGCATGGCGCGAAGCGCCACTGCAGTCTTGTATGTATATATATATAATCTAGCCTAATTACTTAGATCTTTAGTTCGGCTCAACGCAAGTCGGTCAGCTCGTCGCCTTTTTGCTAGGACGAAGGCTCGATTGCCATTCATCGCCTCCCTCCTCCTCTCCTCCCCCCTCAGAGGATGGCGGCCACTTTCATTTGGTATCATGGGCCTGGGGGTGCCGTTCTTGGACCACTTAGTCGTCAGAGGACAAATAAATGCCGTCATTTATTGGCCACGCTGTCCTTCCAGTTCCCCTGCTTGTGTGAATTTGAATTTATCAGCATCTCCTCATCGTCATCACCACCATCACCATCATCATCATCATGACCGTCTTCATCTTCATCCGCCTCGTCCTCCTCCTCCTTCTCCTCCTCCTCCGCCTCCTCCTCCTCCTTCTCCTGCCCCTCACTGTCCTCCTCCTCCAGCTCAAGGCGCCCACTGCGGTCGCGCTACCCCCCCAGGGCGCCCTCCTCGCGCATGCAAGCTGCGGGAGGCCGCTCAGCGGCAGCCTTCCCCGGCGCGCGCGGGCGAGCCAGGCGCTGCCAGCTCCGACCTGGCGGCGCCGTCAGTTTCACATGGGCCCGCGTCGGTGCCGGCCCCGGCGCGCGTGGGCGAGCCAGGCGCTGCCAGCTCCGGCCTGGCCGCTCCGTCCGTTTCACGCGGGCCCGCGTCGGTGGGGGCGCCAGGTGCGCGCGCGGGCGGGTCCGGCTCTTCCAGTTTGAGCCAGGCGCAGGTGGCGCCGTCCGCTCCCGCCACGGTTGCACGGAAACCGGTCGTGGGGGCGGCCGATCTCACCTCCAGCGACGTGCGGAACGTGAACCAGAAAGAGTTGCGCGCACTGGCGACCTCGTTGGGGGTCGGGACTCGGGAGAACAGAATGAGCTCGGAGGCGCTCCAGGCGGCGTGCTGTCGCGCCCTCCCGCAGGCCCCGCAGCGACAGCACTCCCGGGCGGGCGCGAGTGAGCCAGGCGCTGCCAGCTCCGACCTGGCGGCGCCAGCAGCTTCACGTGAGCCCGCGCCGGGGTCTCGCGCTGCCAGCTCGAGCCAGGCGCAGGTTCAATCGCCCGTCTCCGCCACCGCGACGCAGAACCCGGTTGCGGGGGCGGCCCGTGTCACCTCGACCGACGTGCAGAACATGAACAAGAATGAGTTGCGTGCGCTGGCAGCCTCGTTGGGGGTCGCAGCTAGGGACGCCCGACAGTCCACGCGGCTTCTCCGCTCGGCCTGTTGTCGCGCCCTCAAAGGGCAGGTTGGGATAGCTCCCTTTTTCCAGCCTGCCGTGGCCCCAGGCGCCCCGGGCCGAGAAGCAGGCGACGCGCCAGTCTCTGACAGCGCGTCCGCAGTGGAGCCTAACCCAGCGAAGCCGCGCGAACGACCGAGGGCCGTTCGCAAACCGTTGTGGCTGCGTAAACCAGCCTGGTTGTCTGGACAGACAGCGCGCCGGAAGAAAGTTGGGGAGCGGCGCACTCAGCGCGCGCTCCGCAGGGATCGCGCCCACGACAAGATCCGCGACAAGATCCGCGACGAGCGCCCTGAGCGCGCATCCCGTAAGGAGCTGGCGGCTGCCAAGCGGGGCAAGAAACGATATCAAGAGGACTTCGCAAAGAGAGCAATGCGCAAGCATCGAGCGTTGAAATCCCGCAGGGAGGCGCCTCGCGCGAATCGGAGGCCGACGATGCCGAAGAGCGCCAGGGCAGAGCGTGCCGGTGTCCTCGGCAGGGAGGGCAGCTGGAAGCGGACGGCGGAGGAGTCTGCCAGGCTCTGCCAGCAGGGCGGCCCCAGTCACTTACCGCCGTGCTACGCTGGGCTGGGCCAGGGACACCAGCGGAGGCTTTCATGTGCGGGTGCCTGGAAGACGCGCAGTGGGCAACGTGCGTGGCGTGCTGGCGTGCGCGGTATGATTTGCCTGCCGAGTGCGAGTTCTCGCGCGCGCAGCAGGGGCTCAGGGCGCAGCAGGCTCCGTGGGTTGACCCGGGCGCGAGCGTCATCGCGAGGGCTGGCAAGAAAAGCCACGTGAACCAGTGGCGCTTGGAAGCAGCCGGGTCGGTGGAGGAAGCGCAGTGCTATCTGGCGGCAAACTGCCCTTCAGGGGGTTGAGAGCATCGCCCGCAGATTGCGCGACCCAGAGAGAAAGAGGATCATCACGATTTGCGGTGGGTGTCACATGCACGTCGGCGAAGATCATGTTCTCCCGCCCCCCGCCGGCGAGATGCGCATGTGCGACTTCGTGGCGGGCCCGGTTTGGCGCGCCCCGAGGGGCGACGGGCCCGCGATCGCGCATGGGCGCTTCGATGGTGTTCCCCCGCCAGGCCCTGCCAGCGAGGAGGCGTTCTCCAGAGTGCTCGGTTTCAGCGCGGGCGAGTTCGCGCACCCGGTGGCCGCACTTTCGGACCGCGAGGAAATGGCATTGGCATTGGTGCGTCCGCTCGCGCAGGTGCACACCATCCCTCGCACGGGTCAGTTGGCGCACGTCGGCCACATCTGCAACTTTCGCCAAAAGGTCAGCAAGTTCATCAAGAGTCTGCCGGTCATGCCTGCGGACATGCCTGTGGTGCACGTTCGCCCCCGCGCGCTAGGCCCTGCCGGCGCCAAGGGGAAGTCGGCGGGCCGGGCCTTATTCAAAGTCGACATCTCCAAACTCAAGGCTGCCTTTTTATGGTTGCAGGCGAATGGCCCATATTATGCGGAAGTTGAGTGGCGGGGCGACGCCGCCGAGGCGTGGGCCGGCGACGACGTGGAGGTGGGCGCGACGTGCGAGGCCGACAGCGACGCCCCCCATGCCCCTCCGGTCACTCCGACATGTTTCGCCAGGTGGATGGAGGACGGCCGGGCTGAAGCTGTCGCCGGTGACTTCGAGTATGCGATCGGGAACCGACTGCGGGAAGTCATCTCGGACGGGGATTCTGATGGCGAGGGCCCAGGCCCCGCCGGCGCCGCAGGCTCTCGCGCGTGGGCGGAGGTCCGGCGCCTAAGATGCGTTCGGGAAGCTTTCGCATGGCCGCCGCGCTTCCGCAGGATATCCTTGCCGCGGCCTTGGCCGCGCGGGGCATCCTAGACCTGGGTTTACCTCGGGGCGGGGGCGCCACAGACACGCTTCGGGCACTCTGGTCCCTCGACACAAAAACGAGTGCCCGGTGGACCTCCACGTGTTCCGCGCCGAGCTGGATGCCGCCATGATGGAGGAGTGCGACGAGGGCCCGCAAGTCGTTCACGCTGGCGCGACCGCGTCTGCCGAGGCGGGCGACGATGTGGGGCTGCGGCAGGGGGTGCTCGACTCGCTGGCCCACGTGGCGCAGGTGGTCATCGGGCGGCCAATTGATGAGCCAGGCTCTGCCAGCCCGCGCCCGGACGACGCGCCTGAGGTGGGCGCGGCGATGGCGGGGGATCCATCGAACGACGCGCCGCGACAAGGGCCCGCCGACGAGCCCACCGCGGCGCCAGGCTCTGCCAGCGCGTGCCCCGACGAGGACCCGCCGGCCCACGGTCGGCCGGTCAAGTACCCGCGAGTGGATCTTCCGGAGGTGGAGGACCAGCCCGGGCAGGCCATGCGGGAGGACACGCCTGGGTACATTGTGAAAGCGTTCCCGAAATTGTTTCCATATCGGACCGGCGGCTATCGCGGCGCCAGGCCTTGCCAGCGCCGAACGCTTCGCTTCGAGGAGTGGGGTCGGTATGTGATGTTGTGGCACGACGGCCGGTTCATGCGCCACACTCGCTTTCAGTACTGGCTCCTGGACACCATGCTCCGGGTCATGGTCCCGGGCGCCCAGCGGACCTTCTTCCGCGCGCGCGAGGCGTGCGAGGAGTGCACCCTCGACTCGCTCATGGACAAGACCAAGTGGCGCGAGCTGGTGCAGCAGATGTCCACTGCGACGAATCTGATCCCGGGATCCATCGGCGAGAGGCGGAAGATGCGTCAGGAGCTCGAGGCGATGGTCCACCATATCGAAGCGGAGACGGCTGACCTCGGAATGAACGGGGGCGCCGGCAGGATCCCGTCTGGCTTTTGCACGCTCACGTGCAGCGTGTGCAAGTGGGCACAGTTGCACGCGACGTTGCTCAAGGCGTACCCGTCCGGCGACGCTGGCGATGCTTCATGCAAGGACTACTATACGCAGTGGGGGCCCCTTTCCCCGGGCCCTGCCAGGGAGGCTGCCATGAAACAAAAAAACGCATTACCAGTTGGCTGTTCGGGATCCCGGGGCGGTGGCGTGGTATTGCGCGGTGAAGCTGGAGATGGCCACCGCCTTGACCGCCGCCTTGCTGACGGCGCAGTTGCAGTCCGACGATGCGCCTGGGCGCGCCGACGCGCAGCAGAAAGTCGAGGCGGAGCTGGTCTCCCGTATGGGGGTCGACACCTCCGTGGCCGACGCCCCTGATTTGAGCCACTTCGGCCAGGTCGTCCGGGCCGCGGGGCGCCTTGGATGGGGGGGGGGGCGGTGATGACCATCATCGTCATCGTCATCGTCATCACCACCATCAGCGTCATCACCATTATTAGCAGCATCATCATCATCATCATCATCATCATGATCATCATCATCATCAACATCATCGTCATCGTCATCGTCATCGTCATCGTCATCGTCATCAGCATCAGCAGCAGCAGCATCAGCATCAGCATTCGCATCATCATCAACAACATCAGCATCATCATCAGCATCAGCATCAATATCATCATCATCAGTATCATCATCACCATCATCACAGTATCACCGTCCTCATTGTTATCATAATCGTCATCAGCATCAGCAGGAATCTGATCAGCAGCACCACCATCATCGTCATCATCCTCATCATCAGCGGCATCATCAGCATTAGCATAATCACCATCATCATCATCATCATCATCATCATCATCATCATGCACCTCGTCCGACCCCTTATTCACCTCCTCCTGCTACCCCTCCTCCCCCCTCCTCCACCTCTCCCTTATCTTCCTCCTCCTCCGTCGTTCTTTTGCGCGCTGGCAGCAAAAGGCCCAGCGTCCGATGGCGACGACGACGTCGGGCCTTTCGCAGCGGGGTTGCGATGAACGTGGGGGGGGGATCGAGGGTTGCAGGGAAGACCGGCCCGAAAGGGCCCCTTCTGGGGCCCCAGAGGTGCACGAACTGTGCACCTCCCCCCGAAATGTATGGCTCCCCCCCTCGTGAAACAACTTCCAACACCTGGGGGCCCGTGTCGGGCAGGGCCGTCACGAAACAGCGCGGGGGGGAGACAGCAAAACTTTCCCCCGGGGAAGGCGTCGAGTTGCCCGAGGGGGCCGCGTTGTCAAGAATCCAGACCCAGAGATCCAACGCATTCAAAAAATCTAGACTGAGTTTTTTCGCAAATTTCGGCCTCCAGGGCCCTCGCTGGGCCCCGGGACCGTCAAAAAACGACTCAGGATGAGAAACCGGTCCTGGGGACTGGGTCGAGATTTCGGGGGACCGCGTAGTGAAACAATCACGACATCGGATCTCTGGGGACGCGTCTTGCCCCCCAAAAGGTCAGGAATGTTGGCTCAGCGTGTCGCTCCGCCGATTCTGGCCCACCACGCTTCGGCGCGACACGCCAACCACTTCCAGGTTCCTGAGTGTCAACGTCCACAGCTTCTCCCAGCCTCCCGCCCCGCAGAGCGGAGCGACACGCTATCCGCTCGCAGGGCATAGCGTGTCGCCAGGACCGCCCCACGCCAAGCAAAGGTTCCCGACCGTAGGCAACGCCCTGCGCCGGCTGCGGCGGTGCTGGCGGCGTTGCGCGCGCTGTTGACACTTGACCATCCCAGCCAGCTCTCCGAGCCGTGCCCAGCTATGGCTGCGAGAGCGCCCACGGAAACGTCCGAAGACCTCCCAAGAGGACGACGTCAGCGTAGTCGTTGTTGCCGCCGCCACCGACGTCGCCGCTGTCCAAGTCGCCGTTGTGGCCGTCGTCGCCAATATCGCCGCCGCCGCCGCCGCCGTGATTTATCGACGCCGCCGTCTCTGTCGCCGCCGTCGTCGACGCCGCCAGCTTATTCGTCGCCGTCGTATCCGCCGTCATCGCCGCCGCCGCCGTGCTCAGACATCTGGCGCCCCCTTTGTTAAAAAAAACGCGTGGACCCCCAGAGGCCTGGACAACTTCCCGAGGACCGATTTTCCATCCCGAGCCGTTTCGTGACGGCACCAGCCCGTTGAGGGCCCCGAGAAGCCGAAAATAATGCAACACTGGCCGCTCCATTTTTGTCGGAGCCTTGGATCTCTCGGTGCTCGTCGTCTCCGACGTCGGCGCCGACGTCGTCCCCGTCGCCGTCATCGTCGGCGACGGCGACGTCGTCGCGGTCGTCGTCGTCCTCGTCGTCGTCCTCGTCCTCGTCCTCGTCCTCCTCGTCCTCGTCCTCCTCGTCCTCGTCCTCCTCGTCCTCGTCCTCGTCCTCGTCCTAGTCCTCGGCGGCGGCGGCGGCGTCTTCGGCGGCTTCGTCGTCGGCGCCGACGTCGGCGCCGACGTCGTCGCCTCGCCGCCCTCGGCGGCGGCGGCGGCGCGCCTGCGCTGGCCGGCGCCCGCAGAGGTCCGGAGCGCGAGCCGCCTGGCGCCGTCGCGGCCGGCGCCGCGGCAGCGGCGGCCCCAGCCGCCGAGGAGGGCGGCTCTGCGGGGCCGCGGGGGCGGTCCCCGGGGAGGTGGGCTCCCACAAAGCTCGGGGGCGGCAAAGAGGGGGGTGGTGACTGGGGAGGGGGGACATCATGGCGGGGGCCATGATATCTCCCCAGCTTTCATGGCGCCTCTGCTTATTGCATTGCGTCGCCTGCCTCCACCCTGGGCCGCGCACGTGCCGCCGGCCATGATGTGCGCCCCCCCCTCTTGGACGCCCCCCTCGTGGCCGCTCCCGACTTTTCGAGTCATGAGAAAATTACGCTACCGAGGAACCCCACATACTTAATTTAAATATTATGTGTTTGCTTATGTATAATCTATATATATATATATATATATATATATATATATATGCACAATCCTGCGTTCTGGGCCCTCGTCGCGAATGTTCCCTGCTAGGCTTTGCGCCAGTGTCGTGGATAGCGGCCGAGCTGAGAGACCACCCCCTGCGCACCCCCTGTGGTGTCGAGAAAGTGCCACGCCTGCTAGCCTTTGCGCCAGTGTCGTGGATAGCGGCCGAGCTGAGAGACCACCCCCTGCGCACCCCCTGTGGTGTCGAGAAAGTGCCACGCCTGCTAGGCTTTGCGCCAGTGTCGTGGATAGCGGCCGAGCTGAGAGACCACCCCCTGCGCACCCCCTGTGGTGTCGAGAAAGTGCCACGCCTGCTAGGCTTTGCGCCAGTGTCGTGGATAGCGGCCGAGCTGAGAGACCACCCCCTGCCCACCCCCTTTGGTGTCGAGAAAGTGCCACGCCTGCTAGGCTTTGCGCCAGTGTCGTGGATGGCGGCCGAGCTGAGAGACCACCCCCTGCGCACCCCCTGTGGTGTCGAGAAAGTGCTACGCCTACTAGGCTTTGCGACAGTGTCGTGGATAGCGGCCGAGCTGAGAGACCACCCCCTGCGCACCCCCTGTGGTGTCGAGAAAGTGCCACGCCTGCTAGGCTTTGCGCCAGTGTCGTGGATAGCGGCCGAGCTGAGAGACCACCCCCTGCGGCTGAGCTGAGCCGGCTTGAGCCAATGTGTTACATATCAGGATGCTCGAGGGTCAAAGACATGTGTCCCATATGTCGATCTGTGGAGCTCCCCACCCCATGCGCCGCCCTCTGGCGTCGAGGAACTGTTACGCCTGACACGCCCTGGAAGCCTGAAAGAGAGAGCGCCCCCAACTCCTGCCACACCCCTGCGAGCGTATCACGGATAGAGGCCGCACTGAGGGACCACCCTCTGCGCACCCCCATGCGATGTCGAGAATGTGCCGCGCCTGCCACGCCCTGCGAGCGTGTCACGGATAGAGGCCCCGCTGAGGGACCACCCTTTGCGCCCCCCCAGCGGCGTCGAGAAAGTGCCGCGCCTGCCACGCTCTGCGAGCGTGTCACGGATAGAGGCCACATTGAGGGACCACCCTCTGCGCACCCCCATGTGATGTCGAGAATGTGCCGCGCCTGCCACGCCCTGCGAGCGTGTCACGGATAGAGGCCCCGCTGAGGGACCACCCTTTGCGCCCCCCCAGTGGTGTCGAGAAAGTGCCGCGCCTGCCACGCCCTGCGAGCGTGTCACGGATAGAGGCCCGGCTGAGGGACCACCCTCTGCGCACCCCCTCTGGTGTCGAGAAAGTGCCGCTCCTGCCACGCCCTGCGAGCGTGTCACGGATAGAGGCCCCGCTGAGGGACCACCCTCTGCGCACCCCCTCTGGTGTCGAGAAAGTGCCGCTCCTACCACGATCTGCGAGCGCGTCACGGATAGAGGCTGCGCTGAGGGACCACCCTCTGCGCACCCCCATGTGGTGCCCAGAATGTCGTGCAGACGTCTTGGGGGTATGTGCGAATGTATGCATGCGTGCGGCTGTGTGCGAGTGTGTGGGTGAGGAGGCGGGAGGTGAGTGAACGCGGGTGCGGCGCGGGTGTAGAGAAAATCAGAACCCCACTTAGAATGTGGGGAACTATGACGGCGCGGGAAGTTTTGCGCTATGCTCGGCCTTTCGGGGCTCCCAGTTGCCAGGCCGCGGGACCGTCCAAACACGACGCAGGACGGAAAACCGGTCCCGGGGAAGGGGTCCAGACGTTCGGGGGTCAACGTTGTCAACAAATCGCGACGTCAATAAAGTTGGAGCGGCCCGTTTGGGGCCGTTTTCGGTCTCGGGGGGCCCTCGCTGGGCCTCGGGGCCGTCAAAGAAAGGATCAGGACGAACAGCCGAGACCGAGGTTCTGAAAAATCATAAGTTCTTGTGCAACAGTGTGAATCGAGGTGAATCTCTGGATTCCCTTCGTGACCAGAAAAGAAGAAACAAAACTCTCTGCGAGTCAAAACTAACAGACCGCCGGAACGTCGGGGGTCTGCGGGGGTGGGGTCCCTGGGGACGGGGGGGCTCCTCCCCCTCGGACCGGCTTCGCATCCCGAGTGGTCTTTTGATTCGGGGACGGCCAAGAGGGGGGGTGGATGGCTAGGGCTCCTCCTCCTCCTCGTCCTCCTCCTCCTTCTCCTCCTCCTCCTCCTCCT